TTTATTTGCCCATATTTTCTACATATTAACTACGGAGTATCAGATTAGTTACTTTGGTATTTTCTTTTTAAGATGGTTGTGTCTATTTTGTGATGTAACAGTATATATGGTTTTGACTCTTATACTAGTACCTCATAAAGAACTTTCTTGACATTGGGTTTTGACTTTGACTTTCACCTATTTATTAGACTTTTGTCTGACATTGTTTATAAGACCCACTATCTTCATAATTCTTATTTGTTGCTTTGGAATAGCAATGGAAATTTCTAGTGAAACTTAGATCTCCAATTATCTATGGTTTACAAGTGTTAAATGTTGAGTCTTTTTCTTCCAAGATCTATTTACTGCAGTTTTTTTTTTAAAGACTCTGTCTCCTTGTAACTTTTGGTATATTTTGTCCAAAAACAAAAACTTATTGGTATATAGCATGGTCTCTAGAACAATTTTTCTTTATTAAAAAGAATTATCCTTCTTTTATCTAATTTCTAGTGACTTTTCTTTTTGTTATTGGTTTTACCCTTGGAATCTTGCTAGTACTAATGCACATTTTTTTTGATCTTATTTCAGAACTTATACTCGGAACTCCACCAATCATCATGAATCAGTCCTTGTCTACAGTGTCTCCTTATCGGAATTTTCTCCGTTTGATATGCATATTTAATGAAAAAACTTTGCTGTGGTGTTAGGGTTGATTATGCAGATTCACAAACAGAAAAATGTTGTTGATTTTGCAGTCAATGTAACCAGCAGTCGTTGATTTTGTAGTTTTTTTAATCTCTGTTGTAGTTGATATTCTATTAACATATAGAGAGCTAAATTGAAATCGAAGAGTTTTAATGAACCTCAATTTTTGCTTGTGCCAATAATCGTTTTTTGTGTTACAAAAACATGTACAAATTTTGCTTTAAATGTGGGTTTAACTTGTATGATTTTAATCTGGAAGTATAATTTAGATTTGACTTAAGTTGAAGCTGCACGTAATGTAGAAGTAGTATTATAGTTTTACTGTATTTATTCGTTGTTTGATATGATAAATTTCAAGGCTTTTCTCGTTTATCTCAAGCTTTGATTGCTGTAGAGAAAAATCTCAGTTGTTGATGATTATTTCTGAACATAATTCAAACGAACTTATAAGCCAGTCACTTCACACCTCATCAACACCATCTGTTCTAGTTTACCTCCTCAATCCATCTTGAACACTAATGATTTCATAACAATGACTCAGATTAACCTTCACCGGCCGTGATGTTGGGAGATAGACGTAGAGGACGAGGGGTAATGACTAACAGGAGGGCACAATGGAGAGACCATCGGAGAAGGGAAGGAAAAAAGGTGGAAAACGCCTAAGAATGGACGAGGATTGTATTAATGGATGGGAAAGGAGAGATGGGGAAGAAGGGTATTAATTGGTCATTTTTCATTTCTTGATATCTAAAAACTCTTAATTTAAACTAACTTTTAGAAGGGAGTTATGATATACTACCTGGCGGGTCATCGGGTCGGATTTTTTTAACACCCCTACTACTTGCGTACTGAAATCATTTGCCTACTATTTTTGACCGCTTAAATACTTTTTTTGTCCTCAAATAATCTTTATGTTATGTTTGAACATACATATTTAAATAATTTTCCAACTTTCTATTAAAAGTCATCAAACCTCAAATCCTAAATACTCTTAGTTAGGTAGTTGAAACTTTTGTTATAACTAGGGTGGCTATCGTGCACGTCATAACTAGTAATATTCGGGAAACTCTTTCGGTATGGTCTTACATCACAACTTTAGTTGTTAGTAGCATTAATAATGGAAAAATATGTAAACAATTATTTTTACGGGTATTAATGTCTGCACACTATTTTTGAGAGTTTTAAAAAAGAGTTAATCAACATCAATGGGGGCAATTAAGTAAATAAACATTTTGGAGGTGATCCTGCAAAAGAATTCTGGGATCTGAATTGTGGGGGAGCCTGCTCGTCTATTCAAACCGAGTCCTGCAAGAGAAAGAAAGTCAATTGCCTCAGGCGGTGTTCCGAGACAGCCCCTCCGACAGTCAAGGTAGTCAACTGTGTTTAAAGAGAGAAAATTTGTAGAGAGAGAGAGAGTGGAGAAAATTAGTTACTCGGCTAATCTGTGTAGATACGTATTTATAGGAGAGAATTAACCAACTTGATTAGGGTTAGGATTAGGGTTTCTGGCCATTGTGGGCTGTATTAGGCGCTGCTAAATTAGGGTTTCTCGGGATGCATGTTGTGCACGATTATGGAATATTCCTAATCTAGGGTTCAAATAAGGGCATTTTGGTAACTTTTGTATTTAATGAACGTGGGCCCATAGAGGATCCAAACAAGAGGGTATTGTTTCGGAGTTTTTTGGAATCCCTCGGGATACTGGTCACGCTCTGATTGGCAACGGGATTCGGACACCTGCAAAACAACGAATCTCCGGTGATCGGAGATTCGCCTCCGACGATCAAGTTAGTGACCGGAAACTGAATAAATTTAAAGAGAGAAAGTAGAGAGAAGTTGGAGCTTTTAGTGCTCTTTGTAAGGATATGTCACAATCCACCCCTCCCATCATCAATGATTGGGTTATTTATAGGGGTGGGGAATTGTGCCCCTTAGGGTAAGTGACTTAGATTTTAGGGCCATTGATTGGCGGCGCAATCAGTGGAGGACATGTGTTCTTGGGGGCGTCGTTTTGCAGCATTCCTAGGATTTTGGGCCTTCTGATGTTAGGAGGCCTTTATGACATAACTTGATTTCAGGTGCTCTCTTGCTCCTTCTACGTGTCATCTTCCTGTGGTGACACGTGTAGCCCATTTATTGGGCCACGTGTCATCACGGGATTGGACCACGTATTAGGGGTAATTTTTACCCTAAACATGTATAATTAGTAGTTAATGGCTGAGGCTGAACTCAGCCAACACTAGTTGAGGTCACCGCCAAATTGAACATTTAGTTTAATAAAAATGAATATTATCTAACTGAACCTAATTTACAATAATTTTGTATTTTTCAATAATCAAATGTTCATTCTTATAAAATAAATGTTCATTTTCACGCCGTATGATGTTCATTCTTATAAAAATAAATGTTCAATTATTTTTAAATTAATACGAAGTACAACTTTTGTGTTTGTTCACCAGTTGTATAAAATTTTCATTTTTATAATAAAGGATGTACAATAAACATTAGCATTAATAATGTTAGACATTACCATTTTGTTCATTATTAAAAAAATATTGTTGATTTATTTAATTGGTATTAAATCATATACCTCAATTATATTGCATAATATCCATTCAAGAAAATCGAACAAATCAATGTATTTAGCTTGAATCTTAAAAAAAATGTTGATGAATAAACAATAACATCATTTTCATGCACTATGATGTTCATTCTTATAAAATAAATGTTCATTTTCATGCTGTATGATGTTCTTTCTTATAAAAATAAATGTTCATTTTATTTTTTTAATTAATACGAAGTACAACTTTTGTGTTTGTTCATCAGTTGTATAAAATGTTCATTTTTATAATAAAGGATGTTCAATAAACATTAGCATTAATAATATTAGACTTTAATTGTTGATTTATTTAATTGGTATTAAATCATATAGCTCAATTATATTGCATAATATCCATTCAAGAAAATTGAACAAATCAATGTATTTAACTTGAAACTTAAAAAAAAATGTTGATCAATAAACAATAACATCATAGGTTTGTTGTTATTTACAACTAAAATGTTCAGATATATGATATTAAATGCGCATATTTTTTTTTTCAATTTCATAGCCTCTTCATTTTACTCTTATATTATAAATGTCCATTTTTATTTAATGCAATGTTCATAAACAAATGTTCCTGTGTTTTCTAGTAAATGTTCATTTTTTTCTAGTAGATGTTCATTTGCTGGGTGTGACCTTAGCTAGCGATGGCCGAGCGCGACCTCAGCCAAATATTTGCGGGATATAATTGTCCAATCACTATTCATAAGTGTCATCTCATACTTTTTAAAAGAAGAAGAAGAGGGGAATAAGAAGTATTAATATTTGCATTATTGTTATCATGACCATTGTGACGAATGAAGTTCATAACAAGATAAAGAGGGAAGTGGATCGTTGAAGAAGATGAATATAGATTATGAGATTTGTAATAATGAAATGACAATTTTACAACTTTAATTTTCATGTTTGAGAACTAGTATTGTTTTCTTTTTTGATGAAAAATAATAATTTTATTTTTTAATTAAAAAGTAAATAATTGTTGGACATTTTAAAATCATAACATACAAAAAATTATATTAACTCTAGATCTTGTTACTCGCAACAAAGGAATATTTTATAGCTAACCCTTTGTTACGAGTAATAAAAATCAGAGGTGATATATGGTCTTCCTAATACAATTTATTTTTATTTTTTATAAAATATCATCTTGATACTTTAGGAGAATAATTAACATATCAAAACTTCTTACTTACAAAAATATAGAGAGAGTATCAGGTCAACGAGTGTAATGAAATATGCATCAAGTTTGATATATTTTTTTTTGGTTTATTTTTATTTTTATTTATTTATTTTTTTTTACGAGAAAGTTTGATATGTTAATTATTCTTTAATTATTCCAGAATAAGGAGAGATAAGACTTGTTATTATTACTCCATATTTTTCAAAAAAGATTGGATAATTTTTTAATAATCAACAAAAGGTTGGATAATTAGAAAACAAGTTTTCCTACGGAAATTGATTTTGGCACATCCTAAATTGATTTTGATACACCTAATGTGAGAGTACAGTACATAGAGATGTGCCTAAATAAATTTGAGGTGTGACAAAATCATTTCCCTCCTACTCCATATAGAATTACCAAAATTCCTACCGTAAATATAAAATTTAATCCCACGTTTTTCCCCATTGATAAGGAAATTAAAGACGTGTCAAAGTTCTCGTCACACCCCGACACGCAAGTACGCAACTATAAAAATATCGTCGTTTTATCATATAAACCATATAAACATCACATAAAAACACCCTCGTAATTCCCCAATCTCTTTTTAAAAACCTTCACCTTCCTCTCTTTCTCTCTCTTCGATGGAGGTTTCACTTTCAGCAATGGCGGACACAATTTCTCTCTCTCACCAACTCTTTATCACCGACTCTCTTCGCACCTCCTCCGTCATCTTCCCTACTGACGCCATTGCTCCTCCTCCCGTCAGATCTCGCTCCGCTTCCTGCACCTCTGCGCGCCGTACTCTCCTCAAGCGCCGCCGTCGCACTCGCCGCCGGTCTCCCCCTTCCGACGGAGAGGATGACGGCGGTATCTTCGGAGGCGATGATAGCGGTTTTTTCGGCGGTTTTGGCGGCGGAAGTGGCTGGAATTCCGGTTTTGGTGGTGGTGGTGGTTTTAATTGGGATGATTGGTCTTCGTCTTCTTCGTTTCCTGATGATCCGGCTTTCGATTTCGTTTACGAGGTTTTGTGTTGGATTGTTTTCTCAAATTGCTTGCATTTTGCGTTCAAAAAGCTTGTTCGTTTGATTACTGAGGAGAGAGAAAAGGTTCCTTTGAGAATGGAGGTTTGCTGATGATTTACCGGTAGTTTTATTCGTTCTGATTAATTGTATATAATTGTACAAATATAATTCGATTTCTATAACATATTGCTGTGTTAATTGTACATATAGTAGTGAATTTATTCATCATTTGCGGAAATTATTGTTACTTAAATTGCTTTGAATCGATTGATAATTTGCCGAGATTACTGTTCCTGAAATTGCTGTGAATTGATTAGTAATTTTCCGAGATTATTGTTCCTTAGATATTTTTGTATTGGTTCTTAATTTGCTGAAGTTATTCTTCCTTAAATCGCTGTGAATTGATTGTTGATTTGCTGAAATCATTGTTCCTAATTTATTGAAGTTATTGTTCCTTGAAATTGCTGTGAATCGATTGATTTTTTTAATGAAATCGTTGTTCCTTTATATTGCTGTGAATTGATTGATTAATTGTTGAATAATCGTTTCTTAACTTTGGTCTTGAATTTGATTGATAATGTGTGAAATTCATTGTTCTTAATGCATGCTATGATAGTCGTGATTGTGTTTGTGGTTTGATCGTAGTTGGGTTTATTTTTTTGGTGGCATAAGAGCTTGTGTTGAAGTTGGATAACCATCGCAGTTTTTTCTCAAGGTTTTAATTGAGATATTGAACTTATACACCAACAATTTTCATTATGTTTTCAATGCTTTTTGGGTATTTTTGGCGGGGTTCATTATGTAGTAGGGCATCATCTTTGAGGTTCAATTCTCCCAGTTGTAATGGCTTGAGGGAGAAAATGAAGAAAAAGAACCAAAAGATGATCATGCCTTCAACACAGACCTCAAACAAACCAACCAACCAACCAACCACCAGCGCCAACTCTACAAGCCCTGTCTAGACCCGACCGAGTTGAGTTGAAAAACATTCGATTCAGATTTTCCATTCATAGACACAATAACCCATCACCAGCTATTTCATTCTGCCACCATGCCCTCCATAGTCTGGAAGCAGAAAATATCACATCGCCAAGGTTGTCACGAGCCACCACACCAACTCCAACCCACCCTTCATTGGTCAGGGAAGCATCGGAGTTAATCTTCACCCAGCCATCAGGAGGGGGCATCCAAACCTTCGAGCTACCACAAGGGACAGCAGCAGGGGTGGAGTAGATTGCCTTGCTGTATTTCTTGTTTTCCTCTTCCCACCTTTGAACCCGAGCAATCAGCACTGAATTCGAAGTGCTTTCCCCCTGGAACACCCTCACATTTCAGTCAAGCCAAATGCCCCACATCAGGTAGATACCAAGAATTTTCTTCTCATTTTGTACGTCTCCCCTACTCTCTACTAAATTATAAGCCGAGTCCATCTTATCATACTTCCTCAACTTACTGCAATCGAGCTTTGACCACAGCCCCTGCACTCTTTGGCAATCAACGAAAGCATGTCTCCATGTTTCTTCTTCTTTCTCGCACCACGGGCATAGATCATCCTCAGTCAAATGTCGAAATTGGGAGTGTCTCAGTGCAGAACCTCCATTAGAAGTTTCGAGATTTTGGTCGAACATTGAATTTCCATGTATCAACCCAGGCATTATGAAAGGTGTCAAGATCACAGCCCTTCCCAATCATGTAAGCTGATTTAACAGTGTATTCCCCGTTTTCGAGAAGGCCTAAGCTTATTCATCCTTCATACAGCTTTCTTTTAGTGGAAGGGACAGTATGCATCACAAATCTCTATCAATGAAATTTGCCCGAATAAGATCAAGGTCCCATTTTCAAGTCTTAGAGTTGATAAGTTCACTGACTCTTGAAATGCATTCCGGCTGGTCACTAGTTGCAAAACGGCCCCATCATCTACTAGCCATGGATCAGACAAAATCTTCATATCTTGTCCATTGCCAACCCTCCAAATCAAACTCTCCTTCACAAGTGTTTTCGAGCTCCAAATACTACGCCAAGATAAACTACTCCCATGACCCAAGTACGACTCAAGAAAATCACAGTGGGGGTAATATTTGACCTTTATCACTAGACTAAGGAGACAGGTGGTGTTACAAGTGAAGCAGGGTTTTTAATGATTTCCACTAAAATTCCGAATTTAGATGGATTGTAGGTTAGACTTTACACAATTTAGGGATAAAGGAACTAAATAAAAAATATATGGAACAATTAAATCTAAGAAAGATCAAATTGTACATAGGACTAAAATTGATAGTCTTCCCGACAAAATAACATATGCAATTCTCTTGCGGAAAAAATTCACACGAATTGATCAAAGTATAACTCAAATCCAATTCTCTGTATACAAATGTTACAACGTATAGCCCTTTATATAGGCAAATTAAAATAAGAAAAGATATAATTTGAATGGCTCTTCAACTTATAGCTTGTGATTTCTTTTTAAACTAGAGTGTATCCGTGCTAGCGTACGATATACATGTATATTTATAAAGAAAAAATAATAGGAAAGATGGAAGTTATTTTTTTTTTTTTTTAAAAAAAACTCATGAGAGTTGAGGAATGAGGTTTTGGAGAATCCTTATTAATTGACTCTGTAAATTATAATATAGATGCCCTCTTTGAATCTTGTAGACAATAGTTTAATTTGTTTATTTACGTGGGATATTTATTGTTATCTAGGTTATTTTTCATGCATACTATCATTGACCATGCCCTAAAATCTCTAAACTAGAATATATTTTTCCTTGTCACAAATATGCCCCAATTAAATACAACAATTGATAAATTGTAACTCATTTGCTAAAGATGCTTTGATAAATGTCCTCTATTATAGTTTAGTGCTCTCTTAGAATTTCGTTAATTTTTAACTACAATCACATGTAGGAGAACTAATTTTTTCAAGATCAAATAGTTGTTGCATATATATGATACCCCTTTGGGATTTTCTTATTTTAATTTCTTGCAAGTATAATATCTAACAGGGATTTGGGAAACCTTAAGTTTAAGTTTAAGATATAATTTTAAAAATTATTTGGATCTTGTTCTGTTTTACACTATATTATAAAAACATTCCACCTTTCTTATAAGTACACTCTATAATTTTTAAAGTTGAAAATATACCATACTCATTGTAGACACCTAAAAATGTTTCCCTAAAATCAAACCCAATGATGAACAACCTTTCACCGTTATTATTGGCCGGGTTGAGTATTTAATTTATGGAGTGCTTAAATCCTTATTCAATTAAATACATTTCATAAACCAACCCAATTCTTAGCCAATTTCCCCAAATTATTACTTATTTTCCACTTTTCGTGTCCACATCACAAAGCTGAGCTGAACTGATTTCGTGGACCTATAATTTTGATCCAAATATTATTTGGTTGCATAAGCCTTGAAAAAAGATTTCCAACGGTATATCATAAGCACAATTCCGATTTAAACGAAGAAGATATGAGCAAAACACTAAACTCAGCCCAAAACCGACACTCTTTCACTAAAGCAGCCATATCTTTAAACCTACAAAATATTTTAACCTAATTCTAATTGGGTTGGTAATTAGACTTGATAAGCTTTCCAACGATATATTGTATTAATTATTCCGAGTTATGGATCAAAAGTTATCATAGTTTTATAAACGCATGAAAACAGGAAAATACCACATCACGGTGTCAAGGTATTATTCGCCGTGTCGCGGTACACATACCGTGACATGGTAATTTTATAGTTTTTTTTTGTTTTTTTTTTTTTTTTTTTTTTTTTTTTTTTTGCGGCGCTTCAATTACAGGGTTTCGTACCTCACCCATCGTATTTTCTCTATAAATATGAGGCTGATTTTCTCAGTTTCGGGGCACCAAAAATCATTCTCTCTTCCTCTCTCATGCACTAAAGCATTCTCTCTCATATTCTAAGCCTTAGGGCCTGTTCTCATATGATTATTTTCAGTTCAGTTCAGTTCAGCTCTTATAAGTTCAATTCAGTTCAGTTTAGTTCAACTCTAATAAGTTCAGTTCAGTTCAATTGAGTTTAGTCAATGACAATAGGCCCTTAAACCTATTATCCCAATTATAATATTTCTTCCCTAAGCACTCCAAGGAGTCCATATAACACCTGAAGTGACTGTGGGTTTGGACCAAATAAAGTCTACTTTAATTTAATTTCAATTTGCTTTATATTTTCATTGAAATTACTAACAATTTATTCATGATGTAGCAACTTAAAGAAACGTGGAACGCGAGTAATTAATTCACTTAGTTACTGTTATTTTTATTCTTGTTACTAGTATCATGATTAGGTTTATTTTTATTTGATTTGACTAACGATATTACGGTTAAATTGCTTTCAATGTTAATGCTGATTTTATTATTGTGTTGATCACCATATTGCATGTTTAAAGCTAAGGGAATATGTAATTAAAAATCACGACTAATAAGATAATTTGGACGGTCAATTTAGGTTTCTTTTAATCTTGTTGTTTAATTGAAGTGATCACCAATATTTTAGAATTATGTGATACGTGTCGTTTACCGTATAAAATTAAATATTTATTTTCCTAACTTAACCTTCAAAAATATTAACAACTAGTAAAAGGGTAAGCAAGGGTCGATCCCACGAGGAGGCTTTTAACTCTTTAATCAAGGTTTAACTAGATATATTACGGAAACTTACATACAATACATTTATTCACATATGTACATAGAATGGGGGGGTTTATTTTAGATAATACTAAACTAATAAAACTAATACGGAACTAAACTAATAAACTACTATTGACGACACAACTAACCAATTCCACTTCGGCACTACTCATACTAAACTATTGATAACAACAATTGACCGACTCTGCAAAATACTCAATTTAACGATTAGACTAATCGTAGAGACTATAGTAACAAAGACTCCCTATCTCCCTTACTTGAAACCAAATTTGGACTAAGCCGAAATTGACTCTAAACCGATCTAATTAACACAAATATTTCGCAACTTGCATGAGTTAGATACGGAAGCATTAACAACTAGGAGACCTCATTAGTCCTAATTAAACTAATCACATAAATGCTTAGAATAATTAGATTGAAAATGCCCTCTGATTTAAACCAAACCATAATCGCAGACTTGATAAAAATTAGATACTACTTCACTATATAATTCAAACTAAGCCAAATCATATAGATAGCAATAATTCACAACTAATAACATGATAGATAACAATCAATGTCAAATTGCAAATTTAATAATCAAGAACGAGCAAATTTCAAATACCCATTAAATCGAA